ACAGTATTGCAGAGGACCCTGCTGAAGACCTGCAGAGCATCTGCAGAACTCCCTAAGACTCCCCTCCTGGGGTTATTCTGGGACTTAACAGAGGACTTGGCATGGAATTCAATATTTAATAAATAGTGTGGAAAGACTGAAAACCACACTCATGAAAAAATAATTTAACTCCTTTTAATTTTAAACTCAAATCAGACATCAGAGCCCCTGGTCAGCGTGAAGTACGCTAGGTTACTGTTCTGAGATGGTACGATTCCAGTCCAACGTGAAGACGTGTGACACAGAGGTCACTTGCGCAGCTAATACCAGGTGAACACAGAACATGATCCGGACTCTTAAGAGGCCGGTCGAGTGCACAGCTGGAAGAAGCCCCTCCCACTCTGCCTGTGGCTGGAGGACCTGGCTCAGCCTTCATGGTTGCCCTACCGTGAAGCTGCCGTACCAATTCTGTGCCAGAGTTCCTATATTTGGCCTCCAGGACCCTTGCCAAGGAGAGCTCTCTTGAAACCATTTGGGCATCCATTAGCTGCTTATCCCTCAAAAATAGTGCGCGTGGGCCTGGACGCATCCTGAGAGTGCTATTTGGGCATTTCTTAAGAGTGACAAGAACAGTGCGGCTCACTGTGCCACGTGGGCAGTCAGAGCACCTGGGAGGCTGTGTGCAGGCTGGCGGGTGGCGGCGCCAGGTGGTGCCTGAGCACTCAGCACTCTCCTCTGCCTGCTCCTGTTACTAACCACCTTGTAGAAAGCCGGGAGCAAGGTCCTGCTGAGGCTCCCTGTGGCGTCCTGTCCGCAGGCCCATCTTCTCGTTGGATGCTGCTCTGCTGGCCCCGGGGCGGGCTGTTCCTCTCATCCAGCCTGGTGTTTGGAGGGGAGAAGGGGCAGTGTGAAGGAGCAAGGTGCCAACGCTGGAGTCCAGATGCTTGGGCTTCTGGCCTTTCTCTGGCAGCAACTTGCTGTGTGACCTCCGGACCTCTGTCCCCAGAAGGAAGTCACTGGCATTTCTGATGGGGTATTTTTCCTGCATGGAATTGTTGTGTGCGATGCAGGACATTTAGCCTACCTGGGCCTGTTGTGTCTCATTTTGTGCTCATCAGAAAGTCTGTCCTGTTCCCCAGGATCGAGACAGCTCCCCCGTTCTGTGATCACGCACCTGTTCGGTGATTTCCTCACCTCTGACATTCTGGTGTTCAAGGGAAATTGCAGGTACTGATGTTTTCACTTTAGGCATCTTCTCCTCCCCACCATCCCGCCATGAGAGCCCTCTCATCAACATCTTCCCTGATTCTAGGGCTTCCCCAGCAGCCACGCCCTCCCCCATTCAAAACTCATCCCTCTGTGTCTGAGGCCTTGTGGCTGACTCTCTGCTTGGTGGGATGATCACTCACCAATTTATGTACCGGTGAAGCTAATGGCTCATTCCACCCATAAAAAGGCACGCTCACTTGCTTTTACAGGCACAGGGGGTGCCTGGAAAAATCTCCTTGTGCCTGTACTTGAACCTACTTAGAAGCTGGAGCTGGGGAAGTGTATGGGTGAGTCTGTAGGTGGGAGAGCAGTGCTGGGTGGGACGGAAATGACAGCCCAGGCGAGTCCCCAGCCTGCCTGGACAAAACACTGCCAGCCTTCCCCTCCTAATCTTTTCCCCCAGCCGACACTGCTGCTAAATCTCCTGCTAAATCTCCTTGTGCCTGTACTTGAACCTGCGCACAGAGCAGGCTTCCCGAGGGAACACACACAGACTCAAATCCCAACTCTGCTTCTTACTGTCTGTGTGACTTGGTATCCTTTACCCAACTGTGCAGAGCTGCCATTTCCTCATTGTCAAAAATAAATTGAGATACGTCTTTGCTTTTCCTGGTACAAAGTGGATGCTGAAGAAATGGCAGCCGTGGTTATTGCTGTCCCCATAAGCCTCACCACCGCCCTCTCCTCTCATTCAAAGGACACCAAAGCCTCTCTAACTGAAGACAAGATACAGACTCCTTTGCTGGTGTGGAGGCCTCTGTGGGTTCCCTGTCCCATTCTAGTGTTCAGTCCCAGTGTACCTTGCATCAACCCAGTGGGTCCCCTCTGTTCTGAATAAACCCAGTCCACCACTCATCCCACTGTCAAGATGCAAAGTCATTTCACCACCCTAGTCATTTCACCTAAATGGCATGATGACCCCTCGTCACCTGGGGTAAGGCCGTACTGGCATCTGTGCCAGCTGAAGCTGAGGTCCTCTCCCACCTGCTGTGCTGATCCATGCCCAGCCCCACGGGGGCCTCTTGACTGACCAGTCGGTGTCCCTCCAAGGTGCTTGGGAGCATGCACTAGGCTGTGTTTTGCTGTGGCATGACATGGCATGACTGTTGAACCGCCTGTGCAAGATGACACTGAGGTCACACTAGCAGGCTGAGTGCTGGGGAGGCTGCTGTCCTGGCTCCACTGACCGCTGATGCCAGAGGCTAACTAGGGTGCCGCCAGGCTCCTCTCAGGCCGGGTGCTCCTTGGCACTGCTGTGCTCTCCAGGAGGTCTTGCCTACCCTCTGCCCCTGTGTCTTCTGTGCCTTTCCTCGGAGCATCCCAGGCGCAGCAGATCTTTCAGATCTTGGCTGAAATAGAAATGGTGTCGCAATTAGCAGGAGGATTTTTAAGGGTCCCATGTACCCTGAGATACTTGTACACAGATCCTCTTGAGGAACAAATCAGACCAGGTACAAATGCTGGTTGCTGAGATTCGGTGGAAGAATCATCGTGACTTTGGCTCCTGGTTTTGTTACTTACTGAGGGTACTGGTTTCCTAGGGCTGGAGCACCTTACCACAAAACCAGTGGTGAGGATTCCAAACTCCAGGTGCTAGCAGGCTACGCTTGCTCCAGGGTTCTAGGGAGGATCCTTCCCCTCCTCTTCCAGCTTATGGTCACCCTGGGCATTCCTTGGCTTGAGGCTTCTTCTCTCCAATCTCTGCCTCCATTTTTGTATGGCTTCTCTGTGTATCACTCATAAGGACTTGCCATTGAACTTAAGGCCCACGTGGGTTATCAGAGATGATCTCATTTTGGGATCTTTAATGACATCTGAGGAAATCCTTTTTTTCCAAATAAGACCACATTCACAGTCATTAGGATTAAGATGTGGATGCATCTTACTCAACTCTCTCTACTGAATGGAAATGTCACTTGGCCTCTCTGACCCTCAGTTTCTTCATTCATAATATGCAGATAGCATTCCTACTTCACCACACAGTTATGAAAACTAAAGTAAAAGAGTGTGTAAGTAGCAAATATTCGATGAGTACCTTTTTTATCATGCAGGTTCTGATCCCATGGTCGTCACCAATTCCTTGACCATGCACACTGTGGCTCATCTCCTGTTCCCTCCTTGGTCTTCGTCCTCTGGCTCCTGACATTCTCTATGTTCCCCAGACCCCTAGCACAGTAGCTTCCATGTAGAATGTGCGTCAATACATAGCACATTTTAAAATCAATCCATAGCCCTAGGCCAGACTGGCTTGAGTCCTCAGGACCATGGAGGAAGCAGTAGTGAGAATCTAGTTCCTCCCCTGGCCACTAGGGAGGAACTTAAAAGTCACAAGATGGGGATGCTCGACTTGGCTCTGCCACCTCAGAGCTGTGTGACTTTAGTCTAGCATCTTAACTTCTTTGAGCCCCAGGTCCCTCTTCTGAAAGTGAAGCTGATGATGTCTCTCTTGAGCCAGACCTGGCTCTGGCTCAGTGAAGCTCAGCTGGGATGCTGTGGGTGTGAAGTGCTCCCTGAGCTCAGCCTCATCCTCATTCCTGCTCGGGCCAAGTGCTTGCCCCTGCTCAGCTCCCCTTCTTTCTTCAGGTGGGCTTCTCTGCCTCCTCCTCCATTTCTGATCCATCACCCAGGTTAAGGTCCCAGGCCGCTGCCTCTCCTGGCAAGAGCTTCCTCACTCAGCCTGTCGCCTTCAGACAGCCCGGCCCTGAGCAGATGGTACAGGCTGCAGACTCTTGACTGGGGACTTCACATCCAGGCACTAGGCCTGCCTCCCGGCTCGGGTCCCCCTGGCACCATCAGGACCAGCCTGATACCAGAGAAAGAAGGCCCATTGTGTGGCTCCGGGGAGGCCTGGCAGGGGCCTCTGGACCCAGCACAATGAGGAGAAAGGAGACCGAGTACTCGTGGGCAGCTAGATCTAGGTCAAGTCTGCGCGCTCTCTAGTCACACAGACCCTCTGAGCCTCGTTCTCCTCTGCTGAGAATGGAGATGGCAGTCCTTGCAGGGCTGTGGGGAGGACCACCCTGACGCAGAGGGAAGGCCCCTGACATCCATGACGCATTCTGTGTGCTGGTGCAGGGCGGAGGCTCTTCTCATCTAATTGGTACAACTCTGTGCAGAGTTAAGGTGAGAAAAGCAAGGTTCGGACCTGTCCATTTGTGTCTCTGAATTAACCAAGTGTGATGACATTGAGCCTTGATCCTTCTCTTTTTGTGGTCCAGGGTTGTTTTTAGTGGGGTCAGGGAGGGCCTGGGCCAGTGGTTCTTGGAGGGCGGGCAAGAGAGAGGCCATCTTGAAAAGGTTTTAACATCTCTGTCCAACTCCCTCTCACCCCGTGTCGGAGCTGGCTGGAGACAGGTGGGGTGTGGAGACAGAAGTTCAGAGGGGTGGTTATTTTTMAAAATACCTCTAGGCAATTCCAACTGGAGACTGGCCTCTCATCACCATCCTTGCCTTGGGAAGGCCACTGAGCTGCCCAGGGAGACAGAGGAACACCCCTTGTTCACAGGGGTTTGGGAAACTCAAGTTCGCACTCAGGCCTCAAGACAAGGAAGCCAATGGTGACACTGGCATTAGTGCCTGAACTTGATCCAGTGATGTGGAAGAGGGTGGGTGTTTGGGGAAGTGAGAGCTGGTGGAAAGAGGACCTGGGGGTGAGAGCAAGTGCAGTACCCCTGAGGTTCCTGTGCAGTTGTATAGAGACCCTCCTTAGGCTGATAATCTGTCAGTGGTAAACTATTTCTTTTTTGTTTCAGGGTGTGACCTTGTCCTGAGCTGGTGAGAGACGCCTTCTGTGACTTTCAGTCAGATCWGCCACCAGATCCCAGCAAACATGACCCTCGCAGGTAGGTCCCCACATGGCACGGAAGCATGGACTATTCCTCTGCACCTAATGATTTATGGACGCACAGAGACGTGTCTACTTGAAGGGCCAAGTAGAATCTGACCCCAAGTTAAGCAGAAAAGGAGACACACGTAATATGAAAACAGGCCTTCAAGTTTCTGAAAAGTAATGCAGGCCAACATCATCATCTAAACTCGGCTGTCAGATAACCCACAACCACATTAGTGGGAAACTAATAGTGTATTGCCCAGCTGTGCCATCTCCCAAATCAGTGATTTTTAATTTTTTTTGTGTGTGTGTGGTATTGAAGATTGAACCCAGGGTCCTGTGTCATTGCTACATATCTAGCCCCTTTTTAATATTCTATTTTGAGGCAAGGTCTCACAAATTTGCCAAGGGTGGCCTTGAACTGTGATTTTCTGGCCTTAGCCTCTGAAGTCACTGGGATTACCGAACATGCACCAGTACACCTGGCCCCCAAGTAATGATTTTGAAAGTGAATAAAAATAAGTGCAATTAGAGTTTTTTGGCCACACCTCTCCCCCCCAGTAACAATTTCTTCTTGTGCAAACATTCTGCCTCTGTGCTTTCAGCGGATCTAACCACAGGCCTGGAAGACAGCACAGGGGTAGAGCATGGAGGTGCCTCCCACGAGGAGGAAGGGCTTTTTTCTCGTCCCAGCCTTTGTCGCACCGTGGTGGCTCCTGACCATCTCAGTCCCCGGGTGGTGGGTGGGATCATAACTAAAGTTTTTCTTCCTTTTGCTCAGCGGTGCATTTTTTCTTTTAAAGGTTTTTAAATGCCCATGCGGTATTTCTGCAGTCACTTATGTTTTCAATTGTGAAAGAAAACGAGGGAAGAGCACTTGGCTCTGTGCTGGGCAGGATGCTGCTGAGAAGGCCTGAGAATGCCGGGCACAAAAGCATGTCCACTAGCTCCAGGGAAGTGGGGAGGGACGGACAGGGGTCACCCCGTGGCCCGGGCGGCTCTGAACTGGGACCTCCAAACACAGAGGGAGTTGTTGTTGGTGGAGATACACTCCTGCCTCATGGACACCAGCCACGCTGGCTTTGGCCACTGTGCTGGGAAGGTCAGGAAGAGCAGCCCCAATTAGCACCCAGCAAAGGTGTGGAGCAGAGGGACACTGAGGACTCCCTGTGCTGTCTTCTTCTCCACCCTTTGTGTGGCACTACCCAGTGCTTCTGGTAGAATGGAGCATGGATTTCCTGCATCCCAATGCCAAAGAAGTGGCCCATCCAGGGTGGGCGTGGGGAGACAGAAAGCTGGTTCCCGGGGTCAAGCTGGGGGCTGGTGGTGGTGCTTGGGGTCTACACCTGAGGGTGCCTGGCATTTGGTGCTAGGAGGGGAGAAATACTGGAGGACAGATGGGGCCACTGGGTGCTCTGRAAGGGGACAGATGAGGGGCTGAATCACATGCCAGAATCCTAAGGAGGTGGCTCCAGACGTGGGAGGCGTGGGTGCAGGTGGCTTGGGTGAACTCCAGGCCAACTCATGTGCACGTGGGTCTCTGAGGCCAGCCAGGGTCCCCAACTTCACCTGTCCAACGTTTCCACAGCCTACAAGGAGAAGATGAAGGAGCTCCCACTGGTGTCCCTGTTCTKCTCCTGCTTCCTGGCTGACCCTCTGAATAAGTCATCTTACAAATATGAAGGTCAGTGAGGACTCAGTTGGGGAAGAAAGRAGTAGAGGCTCCCTCCTGTGCATGGGGGTGCAGTTCTCAGCCCCCATTTCGTGAAACTCTCCTTGCCGTGCACATGCTCCTACCCAGAGTGCCAGGGTCTGAGCTGCAGGTGTCTTGCCTGGGGCACTAGCTGGCTGCTGGGCTCTGAATCAGGCCCTCCCGAGAGCACTCCCTCTTAGCTTCACCTTTGTTCATTTCTTGAACAAACAACACCAAGGGGAACCAGGCAGAGAGTCCATCCTCGGGAACAAACCAGAGGGAAGAGGGGACACTGAGTGGTTGGGGGGTCTCCTAGGAAGGAGAGATGTCCAAGAGTGTGGAGGTGGGAAGAGGGCTTCCTGCCTGGGCTGTGGTGGCTGTACTGCTCAGGGCCAGGTGTCAGAGATGGTTCCCAGACACTGGATGTCCAGGTTCTCCTGCTGGGTGTGGGGGACAGGTCACCTCCTATTTCCTGATGAGAGGAAGGGGTGGGTTGGCCTGGCAGTAGGAGATGGCGGGTTTGGATGACCTGGGATTGTCTTTTCTGTCTAGGCTGGTGTGGGAGACAGTGTAGGAGGAAAGGTCAAAGCCAGCGGAAAGACAGTGCTGACTGGACAGAAAGAAGAGAACAGGGTAGGAGGAGTCAGGGTCCACAGGCCACACAGTCAGTGGGTAGCAGGACGAGGAGGGGCCTGGGTGGGCAGTGAGTAAAATGCACCACTGTCTGTCACCAGCGAGGACAATGGGCGCAAGAGCTGACCCTCGGAGGAGGCCGATGGTAGAGGCAGAAGCCAAGGCAGCTGCTGTTGCTGTGGCTGGTGTCAGACATCACATGTCCCCAGGGCCCTAATTGAGGAGCCTGGGGCCTTACTGTGGCTATGGACCTTGGGCCCTATCAGCCCTCTGACCTTAGGTAGCAGTGCTCAGGACAGAACCAGGCTCCTGGCCACTGGTTTGCCATGGGGACCCAGCTCTCCTGGTCCGTGTGCATGTTTTAGGGGGGCCCAGCTATTCTCCAGCAGGTCAGCAGCCCTGGCTCTCATCCTGCAGCGGACACAGTGGACCTGAACTGGTGCGTCATCTCGGACATGGAAGTCATCGAACTCAACAAATGCACCTCGGGCCAGTCCTTCGAAGTCATCCTGAAGCCACCTTCCTTTGACGGGGTGCCCGAGTTCAATGCCTCCCTTCCCCGGCGGCGAGACCCATCCCTGGAAGAGATCCAGAAGAAACTAGAGGCGGCCGAGGAGCGAAGGAAGGTAAGCGCTCCCCTTTCTTCCTTCGCTCCATCTTAGCATGGGCAGGAGGGRGCTGGAGAAGACGGGTGGTGGCCCTGAGCCAGGGTAAGGCCCTATCTAGACAGGGCCTCCCGGGGACAGGGCAGAGGAAGAGGCTCCAATGAGGGAAAGAGAGAAGTCAGTGCTCCCGTCCTGCAGAAGCTCACAGCTTGGTTAGGAGGACAACGCACTGTGCCACTTGCCTCCCAGAGGTGGCCTTATATGAGTGACAAGAGTAACACAGTAAAAAATGTTAGGGATTTAAGGTAAGGATTTCTTCACTGGGAGGGAGGGGACAAGGCCATGGTGCCTTTCCTCAGTAGGTCTTCTGGGTTCCCTACTGATGCTCGTGGCTCAACTCTGACGCCATCTTGGTATAAGCTCTTCTTCATCCTTCAGCAGAAAACAATCCTTTCCTCTTTGGAACTCCTGKGGCACTTCCTCTCCACTCTTAAAGGCTCTTCTCACATGTTAGTCTGGGTTTTAGTTATGTATTTTTTAAATGTTTAGTTTGTTCTAATTAGTTGTCCATGACAGTAGTGTGTACTTTGATACATCATATATAATGGAGTCTAACTTCTCATGTACGTGATGTAGACTCACACTGGTCATATAGTTATATATGTACATAGAGTGATAATGTCTGATTCATTCTACTTTCTTTCTTACCCCCATACCCCCTCCTCTCCCTTCATTCCCCTATACATAATCTAAAATAACTCTATTCTTTCTTAACCCCCTCATTGTGAATTAGCATCTGCATATCAGAGAAAACATTCGGCTTTTGGTTTTCTGCGGATTGGCTTATTTCACTTAGCATGATATTCTCCAGCTCCACCCATTTAGCTGCAAATGCCATAATTTCATTTTTCTTTAAGGCTGAATAATATTCCATTGTAGATATACACCATATATATTTTTTAATCCATTATCTGTTGAAGGGCACCTAGGTGGTATTTCTTATTTCTACTAGACCTTTTCTTTCTTTCCTAGTTTGCTAGAATAATACCTGGAACTTAGTACGAGATCATCTAGTGTTTGTGAATTAATTAATTAATATGATGGTGGTGATGGTCCTGAGGATATTTAGAACAAAGCTGAGAAACATCAAGGGCTGTGGGAAGCTCTGCAGGTGGCGGGAGGGTGCGGGAAGGTCCCTGCTTCCTGCTCACAGGTGGGAAGGCAAGCTCAGTGAGGCAGGCACGTGTCCTGAGTGCTGAACTCTTAATCCAAGGTGGTAAAGTCTGGATTTTACCCTGAAGGGCCTTTCTCTCCCTTTGTGCTTCCTCAGTACCAGGAGGCTGAGCTCCTGAAGCACCTAGCAGAGAAACGAGAGCATGAGCGAGAGGTGATTCAAAAAGCCATTGAGGAAAACAACAACTTCATCAAGATGGCTAAGGAAAAACTGGCCCAGAAGATGGAATCCAATAAGGAGAACCGGGAGGCCCACCTTGCCACCATGTTGGAATGGCTGCAAGAGAAGGTAAATGGTCCTGGATTCCAAAGGAGGCTCCTGGGGTGCTCCGCCTCCCTTCCATGGCAAGTGTATTTGGACCTACTGATGTTTCAGGAGGAAGCAGCCTCAGCAGGAATGGCAATAGTTCTGTTAGGCAGGATCCTTAGAGAGCTCAATGGGGTGCTTTGGAAAGTTACAGGCAAGAAACACAAACCAAGCTCTGGGTTTCCTCAGGGRATTTTCTGCAGTAACACAACTAAAAATTCTCATTGTCTTGGGGACCTTGTATCCTTCATTAAATGGAGAAAGCTTGTTTAAGGCAAGGGAGTAGGGAYAGACACATGGCTGTACATTCAGGGCTTCATCCTTGAATGAACTGACTTAATGAAAGTTGCTGACTCTGAAGTCCAAGGTAGGACAAGCTGAGTCGCCCACCCATTGAGCAGGAAACAATTCTCTCCAGACCTTTTAATATGGACCAAATGAGTCTCAGGTTCTTTCCACGAGGATGCTATTTGTCAATAAACCAAACGGTGTCACCTGAATATGAGAAATGTGAGAGACTGGGGTTGGTCCCCCGTGTCAGCAGAATAATAGCCCATGCTGCGCTGGAGAAATGCTGGCCTCATTTCCTGAGTCTCAAGGCCGCCCCAGTTTCTCCTGCAGCTCCTGGGAAGCTCCAGCTCTGTGTTTTATTTCCAGGAGCCGCCTGCTGCGCGGTGACTCCCGGGACCCGATCGGTGGCCTCGTCCCATGGTGAGCAGCGTGGTCCCCACTCCTTCCCGCCCATCCACCTAGAAACTCTACTAGAAAGATCTGGTTTCTTCTCCAGGGATCTGGACGTTGTGCAGGCCCTGGCTCTGGTCAGCACGTGCCAGCCCCTCGCTCTGATGCTATCCTCTGAGGGGCAGCAAGTACCCTGTGGGCGGGAAGCAATCTGGGTCTGATTTCAGGCTTCCCCAATTAATAAGGGGGTGACTCGAGACAAACTCTGGAAGAAAAAAATCAAAATCTGCAGTCAGAATAGGAGGGGGCATGGGCTCAGAGGCCAAGTCCAAAACAAATAATTGAGGCTGGTCCCAGGATAGAGAGTTTGAAAGACTGTTTGTAAACACTTCTGTCTCATTATACTACTGCCTCATAAGTCCATGTGGTAAGCAGAACAGGCATTATCCTTGATGCAGATGAGCAAGCAGTCAGAGAGTCAGATGACTTGCGCTGGGTGACACAGCTAACACCGGTAGAATTGGGACTAGAAGCCAGTGCTTCAGCTCCGGGTCCAGGTGGCTCTTTGCTGGCCTGTGTTAGGGAGATCAGCCCACCATTGTGTCACTAGGCTTTCATCACTGAGAGGGCCTTTGGAGACAAGGAAAGGGAGGCTGGAAACCTAGGGCCCGGGAGCTCACCTGAGAAGCAATGGGAAAGGTTCACACTGGGGAACATGAGCTGTGGAGGTAGGGTAGACTCCAGGCAGCAAGGTGCCAGCACAGACATTTGAGAGGTCGTCTTTCTCTGGGACCTTGATCCCACTCACCTTTACTCACGGGAGGAGACAGCAGATGGGGTGGGAACACCTTCTGGGCCAGTCTTTGGGTCACCAATGGTCTACCCTGGAATTATTTGGTGCAAAGTTTAAAACTACACATACTTGGACCCTGCCACAGACCTACTACCATGGCTTTCTAGGGTTGGTCTCTGGGGACCACAGAGGCTCCCAGGTGATGCTGACACATGGTGGAGCTTGAGAACCACTGCTTGATCTACACTACTCTCTGCCTCCAACCCGTGGGAAGTTCCAGGGGCTCTCTAGGGACAGAGCTCTGGGTTAAGGTCCAGCTTGGGAGCCTGGGCTGCCTCAATGGGTCTACTTCAGGTCCATTCTGCCATTTGAACGTGATTATACCAGGGACTGGAAGGGGGGTTATTTACCCAGCACCTGCCAAAGGCAGGACGCAGTGCTACAGGTGGACGCTGCCATCACCGAGCTCAGGAGGTGCCAGAGCCGCCCTCCAGGCCCCGCCCTGATCAGAGAAGGTGGCCCACCTGGAGGAGTCGGCTGAGGCCAGGCAGCCTGCCATGCAGCTGACCATGCAGCTGGCGGGCCGCAGAGGGCGGGGCCTGCCTTTGGGCTGGACTACAAATGAAGGCTCTCTTACCCTAAGTGTAAGAAAGCCGGAGGCCGAGAGGGCTGGGCAATAAGCACTAAGGGGATGGGCCAGGAATTCAGGCAGGTGTCACAGGCTGGCGACTTGTAGGCGGGGCTTGCGGTGGGCCAGCTCTCCTAGGGGCTTCTCCTGCACAAGCTACCCCAGCGGCTCCCTGTGGTAAGTCAAGCCAAGCCACCAGTCCAGCTGTCACAGTAGCCAGAGGAGGGGGAAAGAGGCTGGGGGCCCTGCGGGAGGCTGGGACCCACCAGTCCCTGGGCTCACTCACCGCCTTCTGCCCCTCCCAGGACGCCTTGGCCGACACTGCTCCGCTGTTCCTGATGGCCACCCTGTGCTGCCCTTCTCTAGCCCCTCTGCCTTCCTTTAGGCCGGGCAGCCTGTGTGACCTGCCCTGTCCCTCCCTTTCTTCCCAGGACAAGCACGCGGAGGAGGTGCGGAAAAACAAGGAGCTGAAGGAAGAGGCCTCCAGGTAAAGCCCAGAGGCCAACGCAGTTTCCAGGACAGCCGGACAGTCCGCAGCTCGTGGTCCCCGCAGCCTCGCCCGCCGGCTGCTCTCCCAGCGCTGGGGTTTGGGGGGAGGGGGGTGGCCCAGGGGCGTTTCCTCTGCTTTTGGTGTTTGTACATGTAAAGAATTGACCAGTGAAGCCATCCTATTTGTTTCTGGGGAACAATGATGGGGTGGGAGAGGGGAGAGAAGGAGAGTTTGGGAAAGGAGAAGAAGTCACGGACATGGCAACGCTACCCACTGCAGACTCAGCCGACCAAGGCCTGCGGATTTTCACAGCTCTGCCTGGAAGAGCAGCCTCCAGGCACCGTGCTGAGGGAGGATGAGAACCCGGGGCAGTGGAAGTTCAGGGTGAAGGATGGGCAGAGTCCTGAGGGGCCCTGGCTGCAGGGCCCACAGGATAAGAGCCCAGCCAGAGCAGTGCAAGGCAGACATGTCACTCTGCCTAGCAGCAGGAGGAATGAGGTGTGTGTGTGTGTGTGTGTGTGTTAACCATCATCTTTTGATCATCATGACCAATGAAACATTTACTACAAGTCTCCAGTTCTTTATTTCCTGAATTTGTTTTTTTGGGGTGACTGGTAGAAAGTTCTAGAAATTTATCCGCCTCCCATCTGATAGCAGGTGTCTCTTAATTTTGCCATCCATGTATCTGAGGTGCTGGGAGGGGTTGGTTCAATTATGCTGGCCTTTGGCATAATTGAAAGGTTTGCTTTTTCCTTCTTTTAAACCCTCCCTGTGGGTTGTTCCTTACTGGATTGAGTGTAATGAATTGATAAGAAAAGAAACCCAATCTTCCTTTCTGTGGACTAACATTCTAATAGGGTCCCCAGGATTCATTGTAAGAAAGAAGTTGCCTTAATCTGTTAGGCTGCTATGACAAAATACCTTAGTCTGGGTCCTTTATAAAGGAAAGAGATTTATTGCTCACACTTCTGGAGTCTGGGAGGTCCAAGATCGTCTGGTCAAAGCTGCTCTCCGCCCAGTCCTCATATGGCAAAAGGGTAAAATGAGGGTGAAGCCCTCATGAGCTCATCACCTCCTGAAGGTCCTGCCTCTTAATACTATTGCATGGGGGGAGGTTTCGACATAGGAATTTGGGGGGAACCTCAACAGTCAGACCCTGGCAGAAGCCTTTCTCACCCTAGGAGCTTTGGGATTCTCAGTGAGTCACAAAATGTGAGCAGGAAAATAAAGTGTTTGCTGGTGGAAGGCAGAAGGAGCCATTCAGTACCAGCAGTCATGTTCTCCAGGACCAGCACCAAGGCTGGAAACAGAAGCCCCTCTCACTCCTCCCCTGCACACAGGAGCAGGAGAGCAGTCTGCCTGACCCGGGGCCCAGGGCATCGCTACACCCTGCCCTGCACACTGTGGAGTTTTGTACAGCTTTGCAAATAAACTCTTTGATATTGCCTTTTGTTTTTTTCCACCAGTGGTATTGTAATTTAGCCTTGTTTTAGGAAAGGATAACTGGAGGATCAACATTGATGGTGGTGATGAAGAAGAAGGAGGAGGCGGCAGCTAATGCTTTGAACGCTCTTACTAGATGCCTAGAAATTTTCTGAACTTATATATTACCATCTCATCTAAATCTCACACCGGCTGGAGGAGAAACTTATTCTTATTATCCTATTGTGTAGGAAAAGAAATTGAGGTATAGAAAGCATCACTCTTGCCCAAATTCACAAAGATAGTTAAGTGGGAGAACAGGGACTTGAATTTGGCAGCTTGCTCCCAGGGTCTGTATTTTTAGCCACTGCCCTGTGCTGCTTCTTTTTAAAACACTTTTTATTGGTTCATTATGATAATACAGGACGTTGGGATTCATTGTCATATTCATACATGCACACAATATAACATTATAATTTGGCCAACATCCTTACCCTTTCCCTCCCTATCTCTTCCCCCTTCCTCTACTCTACTGGCCTCCTTCTATTTTCTGTGCTGCCTTTTGACACTTCCAAACTAGGCTGTGGGTCCTAGATGAGTGTTTCTGAAACTGTGAGATATGACTCATTGGATTGTGAGCTCAACTTTATTGGCCCTACCCAATCTTCCTTCCTTCAGAATAGAACAGAAAACTAAACATTAAAATGCATTTCAGGTAATAAGTACTTTTTTTCCACAGAAATTGAGTTTCAATTTTAGATTTTGTGTATGTATTTCTAGCATGCTGCATAAAATATATATATATATTTAAATTGGGGGTGGCAATCAGACCCCTTTGAATGAGCATGGAGACAGGATGTCCACTAAGCCCCAGCACCTGACCCTGAAATTTCAAATTATGTGCTCTGCATGGGGCACCTTCAAAGCATTAGGAAACAAATCCTACCTTGAAAGTGTTTACAAATGGGGCAGGAAGCTAAGTGGCAAGGCCATGGTTTTTAAATTTCCAATTTACATGAAAATCTCTCTGAGAGCTTGATAAAGTGCGAATTTCTTTGCCCTGGGAGTTTGTAAATGAAAATAATTGACTAGGCTTATTGAAATAGGGTCTTTTGAGGACCCCATCTGCCCTGGAACCTACAATTTAGCAATCAATTTCCAGTTTTTTCCTTTTAAAAAATGGTTTAGTAAGATTAGACCTTATTTTAAATTATTTCTGGTAATTGGCAGGATTTATACTAAGTTGGTATACTCCTTGTTGACAGCTGTTACCTGTCCTGGTCTGCCAGCGTCCCTCTGTTTGGCTGCGTACGGGGCCCTTCCAGCTGCACAGCCCCTTCCCTGGGATTCTCAGGGCCTCCCCACAGTCCAGGAGCTGAAGGGTTTTGGCACCCCAGGGGGCCTCTGAAGACTGTCACCTAAGCCTGACAGCTGCCATCTGTTCTTATTGTTTGTTAAGGACAGTATTTATTTATTTTTAATTAACAGATAAAATTATATGATTCTTCATGAACAATGTGATGGTCACAGTTTGAACCTTCTGAACAACAGAAAACTAAGCCACAGGCAATGTACCCAAGGGCAAGAGGATGACAGGTCTCTGTCAACTGGAGTGGGAGAAGCCTTCTTGGAGAAGAGGGGGCCTGGGAGCACAAGGACACTTCCAATAGGCAGAGCGGAAGAGGCGGGCTGGGGCACAGTGGGTGCTGTGCTGAGCGCTGGGGCAGGAGCTGCCCCCTAGAAGGGAACCCGTCGTCAGTCAGGAAGAGTGTGTGCAGGAAGGGCGCCTGGGGTCCCCATTATGATGCAGCAGGAGGAGGAACTGGGGCTGAGGAAAGGAGGACTGAAGCAGAGGTGTGTTTTAAATCCTGCTGCCCTAAATCAATGACCTTTGGTGGAGCTATAGCACTCCTGACAGGGGGCACGTTGGAAATGTGGCAGCAATTTTGGTTAGGACAGGAGAAGGTGCAGGTGGAGGCCTGGGATTCCATGTGAGCACCAGACAGTGTCTCAAGTCTCCCTTGACCTCCAAATGTAAATGAGAGACCTGTTCAGGATGATCTAAGACCAGGACTTACAGGACCTAGCTCAGTTCTGCAATAAGAAGAGTGCCCAACCCCCTTTGAACATACCCTGGCCTTTCTAGCTCTGCTAGTCCCTGGGTTTTTCCCCTGGTGGGGTCATGGCCTTGAGTGTAGACTGAGGAGTGGCATAGCTGAGTTAAATGGTGGCTCCATTCCAAGTTTTCCAAGGAATCTGAATACTGTTTTCCAAATTGGTTGCTCCAATCTGCAGTCCCACAGCAATGTATGAGTGTGCCTTTTCCCCACTTCCTCGCCAACATTTACTGTTGTTTGTCTTCATAACAACTGCCATTCTGACAGGAGTGAGATGAAATCTTGAGTCATTTCTCTGACTGCTAGAGATGATGAGCATTTTTTCATATATCTCTTGATTGATTGTATATCTCCTTCTGAGAGATGTCTGTTCAATTCCTTGGCCCATTTATTGATTGGGCTTTTTTTTGGGGGGGGGGGCATTTAGCTTTTTGAGTTCTTTATATACCCTAGAGACTAGTGCTGTATTTGAGGTGCGAGTGGTAAAAATTTTCTCCCATTCTGTAGGCTCTCTATTCACCTTACAGATTATTTCATTTGCTGAGAAGAAGCTCTTTAGTTTGAATCAATCCCATTTATTGATTCTTGAGTTTAAAAAAATCTCAAAGGAAGAAACAAGGATGTTTTTGTTGGAGATGAGTATCTTTCCCGCTTCCCTTCTCATCCGATGGGTGGGGTCGCTTGTTGTTAGCTGGCATCTCTGCCCTCAGGATGGCGAAGGTAACCCGGGAGGAAGGATTGGTCCTGGGTGGAGGGTACCTGGAAGTGGGGTATGGGACCTCTCAGTCCCCAAAGGGAGACTGCACCTCAAGGATCTCTTTTTGGGCCTGCTCCTGTGATGTGAGTGCCTGGTCTTCTCTCTTTATCTCACCTGAAGACCTCCCAGTTCCCGGTCTCTGTGTTAGCCTGTAAACTGCATCACACTCACCCTCTCCCTTACTGCTCCCTAAGAAGAGTCCTTTGTCTCTGGGGCTCTTGTGTGCTGTGTACCTGCCCTGCTAAGAGCTGTTTTGTGTTGGGCAGTCACTGTGCCAGGTTAGAGACTGATGGGGGGGGGGCAGTTAGTAACTGGTACCTGACCAGCCTGAGTTCCAACGTGGGAGTTGCCCCCACTAAAGGTGGTGATGAAGGTGACCCAAAATGGAGGCTATTGCTTTCAGAGATGGGGTGTCGGTTGGGTGGGGAGAGCCAGGCGATGGGCATTGGACAATGAGTTCAGAGACTAGCTCTGTGACGTGCAGCGTGTGGCTGTCAGCTGTCTTCAGAGCCTGGGTGAAGTATCCAGGTGCAGGCAGGCTACCGCACATAGGGGACTATCTTCTCTGCTGCAGAGTCCCAAGATGGAGGCGACAGGGGAGCTCCCCATTGGTAGATGGGGGTGCACATGGGAGTGGAGGCCAGGGTTCCTGTGTATGGGGAGCAGCCAGGTGTCCTGCATGGGAGCTGAATCTGGGATTTGTGCTTGGGTGGGTGGCCGGAAGTTCTGGCAGGTGCTGATGCCAATGGTCCCACTCAGGCACCCATTAGTCCTGTGTGGGCAAGTCGTTGGGAGACCTACTCAGACGCTGAGGCCTGGAGCCCTGCATGGGCTGGCCATGATTCCTGCCCGGGGAATAGGAATAATAGGAATATTGCTGACAGAAAAGCAGTATTCTCACTACTTGAGTACCAGGTCACAGAGTGACACAGAACACTACCTCCCTCTGGCCTGCCATCTTGGATTACCCCAATCTTAATTTTTAATATCTTAAACACTTTATATATATATATATATATATATATAACATTAATCAAAGGCAAAACCATCTGGGTTTCCCTTTCAGCAGAAGAGGGATGGCTGGAT